ACAAAAAAAAAACTATAAGGTCTTTGAGATGGACTTCTATTTCTATTTAATGATATGTTCTCCTTTGAGAATATTTAGACCATGAACTATTAATCTTGGCGTGTTTAACTATTATTGTGTATTTTTTGTGTTTTATTTTGTAATACTATATTCCTAGGTTATATTTCTAAGTTAGGAAAGTAAGGTATTTTAGTTGTGTTATTGTTTCTTCTTTCATATACCTCTATAATTATCAAAATACTTGGGAGAGTGTTTGATTAAAAGTGAGAGGGGTCTCAGATTCATGGGGAGCCTGGCTCGAAGTTTTCAAGAAGTATTATGAGAATAGGCATTGAACCTGGAGAGTTTAAATAAAACCATTTTATACTTTTGACTATTAAGAGTTAATTTTCTTTCATTGGGTTAATGTCCCCTAGACGTAGGTGACTTTGTACCGAACCAAGTTAATAATTCAAATGTTCTTTAACTTATATATTCATCATTCCTATTATGCATACATATCGTCATACACATTATTTCAACATTATGCTTTCCATCTTGACATCAGTAGAACAAAATTTCAAAGACATTGAATTAATCAAGAAAATTACCATGGAAAGTCAGAAGAACAAAGACACTTTTATTAAAAACATCAAGGTGCAAATTGATCAGATAAGCAAGAAATGAGATGCTGCAATCCTTAAATCACAAGTTGATTATTTGGTTAAGCACCTATTTGATCAACAAACCAATTCCATCACTCAAACTTGTTAGAAAATGAAAGAAAAACAACCTTTATATCACTCTCTTCAGTAGTAAGGTAGTTGTAATGGATATTGTAAAATCCAACTTTCTACTCGAAGTTATCTGATGACCAGAATCTTTGGGATTTGTCCATGCAAGCAACATGCCTCAAAGAAAAAGTTGGAAATTCATAGAATTCTGAATGAGCCATTGAGGAAATGTGAGTTATCAGGAAATAATGGAGTTTTAAATTCTTCCAAATCTCGGTGAATACGTTGAAGACTTTTTTTATCAATATTATGGCGGATAAAAACTAACCCCCGGGCTTTCCCTTTTTACATTGAAGAACAATTAACTATAAAGAGATGAAAGAAGAGATTTTTCGAAGCAAAACCAATTTTCCCCTTTATAATCATACTCGTATTAAAATAATTCTATGGAAGACCAAGAAACTGGATGGAGTTGAGAAGGGGAGATACATAGGTGTTTCCACACCATATTTTCAAAAGCGGCAAGAGGCAGCCTTACACCTAACTTATAAAAGACACATTCATAAAAGGGATTATAATACCTCACGAACTTTTTGCAGAATCTTTTGCCGATAGGGATTGAGGAGATAGACAATTCATAGGAGGTCCCTACTTCTACAATGAAATTCTAAATGGAGACCTCTCGAATGTAGGAGGTCCCTACTTCACAATGATATTGATCTGCATCGATTGGCTCCAACGAGATTTTAGTTCGAACCATATCTGTTTCTGTGTCATAAAATGGGTCATCGTGATCAATGAAAATAGAATAATTTTGAAAGGAACACAAACCCTAGAACATATATGAGGATAATCTTTTTGGAGAGACTGAATAAAACAACCAGTCTTATGCTCTACCACCCTAGATAAAGCAATGCCCAAATTAAAGTCAGCATGTGCAAGAGAGGTGAAATGAATAGCCATTTCCCCTATTGTGGGATGTCCTAATAATTTGAAGAGTCCAACATTGACCCCAAACTACCATTGGGCACATTCTAGGAAATGATAGAAATATCCACCCCATAAAAAATGTCCAAAAGGTATGGATCCTCAACTCTAGTAGAGAATAAAGACTCGTCACTATCAGGTTCAAGAGCCATATTTACAAGTACATTCTCTGGGTTAGACATAATGGTACATAAAAGGAGATAGAGAAATACATTGGGTAAGAAAAATGGTTAGCCTGGGAAAAATGACGACACAAAATAAAGAATAACCCGCCGCAAGGAAACGCTAAGTAGCTAGAATTACTGGAACTCGCGAGCAATAAACAACCTCAAGGAAGAGGAACATATTCGAGTGGTAAATGAAGTAAAAGGACCATTTGAAAAAAGATTTCAAGCACGTATAGTGAAACTAATAACAAGTAAACGATCCATATTAGAAGTGAGGGGGGAATCCAAGGGTGATAGTTTGAATGTTCCTTGGAAATACAAGCGATTCAAATGCACTTGAGCATCCTAAAAACGAATGCCTTGACCTAGCCTGTGAATCTAGAAGATATGTGCCTGGAAATCAACGAAACGTCTTAATGATGGGAAATGTATTTAATGTACATGTTCTTGCGACTACCTCGTGACTTTTCCAGCCACTTTGTTAAATTTGTAGGGTCGTTTTCATAAATTTAAAAACTTTTGGTCCAAATTTAAAATATAAAAAATAACGATCAATTTCTAATGTTTTAAAATTTGAAAGGATCAATTTGTAAAATATGAAAATTATTAGGGACTTATTTAAATTGTTTTTGAAAATTTTAGGGGGTGAATTTGAACTTTTTATAAAATATAAGGACCATGTTGCAAAGTTTTGAAAATTAATAATAAACAATTTAACATTCAAATTATATATAGCGGTGAGCAATTTCAAATTCTTTATTTTTTGATGTGATTTTAAATTCTTTAAACTTTATTTGAATAAAATACTTCATTAATTTACATCATTTTAACAATTCTTCATATTTTGTATCCAAACAATAGATTTTAGTTAAATCATTTTAAATTCCTTCAAAAATTACTTTTCCTCATTGAAATGCTTCATTCAAACACACTCTTAGATAATATTTGGATAAAGTAATTGAGAATTTTTAAGGTATTCAAAATACTAAACAATTCAAATGATTCAATTGCAATTCATTCATTTTAAATTTGTTTGTTTGGGTGGAGTATTAAAATGATTCATTGTTAAATTTTAGGATCATTTTCATAAGTTTTAAAAAATTTGGGTTAAATTTAAAATATTAAAAATAGGGACCAATTTACATTTTTTTTTAAATTTCAAGAGATCAATTTGTAAAATTTGAAAATTAATAGGGACTTATTTGCAATTTTTTGGAAATTTTAGAATTAAATTTGTAATTTTATAGAATATAAAGGCCATCTTGCAAACTTTAAAAAATTCTTATTAAACAATTTGATATTTAAATTATGGGGCAATTTCAAATTCTTTACTGTTTGTGTCATTTGAAATTTCTTAAATTTAATTTGAATAAAATACTTTATAAATTTATATCATTTTAACAATTCTTCATATTTTTATTCAAACAATTGATTTTGATCAAATCATTTTAAATTCTTTCAAAATATTAATATTTTTTATTAAAATATTTCATCCAAACACACCAACTTGAATTGAATGCGTATACAACAAAAAAATATGCTCCAATAAATATCAAACAAAATAACAACTACAATTTACATTTAGATCAACATGGCTGACAAAATAAATAAACATCCAAAAAATCTACATCTTTAAAACCTAAATTATATTTTAACAAAAAAAAAAAACCTAAATTATATTTAGGAAACGACTATTTAATGTACAAGATTTGAAGTTAGGGTTGCAACAACTCAATGTTACTTTTAATTTGCTGGATTTTGCTTGCTTACATGGCTACTTCAGTACAATTATTTGTTACCCCTGTGACACACACAAACGCGCGCGCGCGCAACGCACATATATATATATATATATATATATATATATATATATATATATATATATATATATATATATATATATATATATATATATATATATATATATATATATATATATATATATATATATATATATATATATATATTGGTTAGACTAGTTAAATTGAATGATTTAAAACTTTTTATTTTTTATTAGAGGAATTCAAAAGACTATTTACGTTATATGAAAATCGAATTCAATTTTAATATTAGATTGAATCAATTTTAGAAAAGCTTAAATCATAAATGTGGTAAAATTCTATGTGGTACATGTTAAATAAGGAGGAGACACAATAATACCTAAATTATGGATGACATATGACAAAGGCAAGTCATGAATGCATAAAAATATATATTTTTTAAAAGTAATTCATTAATTTTGGAATCATATAATAATCAATAGTAGTAACAAATTTTTCCTACAAATAAATTATTAAGTCTTTATTATATTAAAAAATAGTATAATAATTGAAATATATATATATATATATATATATATATATATATATATATATATATATATATATATATATATATATATATATATATATATATATATATATATATATATATATATATATATATATATATATATATATATATATATATATATATATATATATATATATATATATCCTGATTTATTTTACTTGTATTTATTAATAGATAATGTTTTTAATAAATATAATTTTAAAGAGAAATCAAAGTGTAAAATATATACCCATTATCTCAAATGTTCAAATAGCAAATCAAAATTTAAAAAAACTCTACAAAATCAAAATCCAAACAAACAACAAATCTAAAGTAGAGAATAAACCAATAACCCAAATAATATAACAACTCATTACAATCAGGGTTTTGAAAAACGATCCATGACCGCAAAAACGGTCACGACAAAATGATTTTGGCAAATATCAATATCAATATTGCGAAATATTTTACGCGACCGCGATCGATGTTTAAAATCATGCTTACAATATAAATAAAGAAAGAAGAGTGAATACTTTAATTCAATCTTATAATGTCAATCAACGAAACCTAATAATTGCAAGAGATAATAACCTGCAAGATGAAAGTTTTGAATTTATTGAAGAAATAATGTTTTGATTATTAGAAACAACACAACCAAAGTAATTTACATCTGTGAAATTGACATAATTATTCTAAGTCATATCACAAATCAAACACACATTAGAACATAATTAAGTCTAAACTTTAAAAAGTAAACAATAAGAGTTTTAAACCATATAGTCATAATACATCAATGCAAATTTTATGCATTGTCTTCTTCAGCATCTGCATCATTGGGAACCTCATTCAAATCAAATGTGTTGATCCATTTAGCTTTTCCATTTCCAATGCCACAAGAAGACTCAGCTTCTCCCCCAGCCTCATTATCATTAACATTTGCATCATTTTTTACTTTACCACTAGATCCAACTCCAGCATGGTCTACAAATTCAATTATTCAAAAAGTTATTGGAAATAGACTACAATATTAATTAATTACTTGGCAAGTTATCTAGAATCATAATTCTTATAAAATTAATTTATTCGAAAGACAAATTTTACACGGGTAAACACTTTCTTGAATGTTATATCTATGGAACAAGATGTATCTAAGAATGTCTTAAAGTTTATTATGATGAAATTAATAAATGAGCATACTTTTATAGATATAAAGTTCGTTAACAAAATAATAATATTATTATTTAATTTTATTTATTATTTGTACATTCTAATGATTCATTCATTTATCAAATGTTACTAATTTTGATATAAAGTGCAATGATAATATTATATTTGTCTTGATTTGTTATATTCTTTAATTTTAGATTTTTTATTCAATACTTTTTGTTTTTATGAATCTTTATGAGAATTCTTTTTTGAAACTATATTTCAATATACTAATTTTTATAAATAAATATTAAATAAACAAGCTACAAGAGGATGTTTGAGAATCCATTATATATTCATGTTTAACTTCTTTTATTTATAAATATGGAGTTTGGTCTATACTTTGGTTTTAGGGTGAGATATTTTAATTTGATGGTTTCTCATCTTCAATAATCTTATAGGAATTAATACATATCCTGTCTTTTTGAATTACTGAGGTGATTTTCTCCGCTATATGATTAAAACTCTACCCTTTATGTATCTAGGTTTTAACAAAGAGACACCACTCTTGGAAACACATACGATATATTATTTAGGGTGGTCGAGTGATTTTACTTAATTTGGTAATTAATGCTATCCTGATCTTCTATATTTCCTTTTCGAAGATTCTTGTGAAGGTCTGGAAGAAGATAATATCAATTCAAATAAGGTTCTCACGGGGAAGAGTGGTGAGAGATGTTAAGATATCTTGGGTCAAGTGGGACACTATGTGTAAACCTAAGAGTAAAAGAGGATTAGGGGTTGAATCTTCAGTTGTATAATTTATCCCTGCTGATCAAATGGAGATGAAAATTGATTGCAAGTTTTTCTAATCTTTGGTGCGATATTTTAGTAGTTAAATATAGTGCTTTAGTTTCCTCTTATCTTCGGGGAAGGAACACGAGCTTCCAGCCAGTTTCTACTTTATAGAAATATGTTTCTACTTTATGAATCTTAAAGAAAGTGAGCATGGGCATTCATAATACTTTTAGGAAGAATCCATGGGTTGGACCCATTCCACTTAAGAATAGGTTCTATAGGTTGTTTATTGTTTCTAATCAACCTGATGGATTAGTGAAAGAGACCAGTCGGTGAAAAAAATGGGAATCTAACCTAAGATCTGAAGTGGAGGTGACTCTTTTTTTCACGAACTACTAGTTTTTGATAATCTTATATTTGTTCTCTTTAGGCCTCTCTCTCTCTCTCTCTCTCTCTCTCTCTCTCTCTCTCTCTCTCTCTCTCTCTCTCCTCTCTCTCTCTCTCTCTCTCTCTCTCTCCTTAAGATAAAGATAAAGATAAGTGGATGTGGATTCATTTAAGATATGGTATACTCTCGATTGCCTCAGCTTATCAAGTCTAGTTGGCCCATAATAACTCTTCTTTTTCCTCTCACATGGTTGAGAATCTGACCCTTCTCATCATCTAGATTAATTGAGTTTCTTCTAAGGTTGTAGTCTTTTCTTGTTAGCTTTTGCAAGATAAGTTTTTCTCTAGAAAAAATAGGGGATAATTATTAAACTGGATGGAATCTCTTGCCCTTTGTGTGGGGGTTTGGTTTAGTTGTTATCCCATATGTTTGTCACTTATGAGATAGCTTTATCTTTATGGTAGGATCTTTTGGTGGTTAGATTATCAGGTGGTTCTCCTTAGTGATCATATGCTTTTATTTCAATTTTCCCTCTCTTTAGGGTGGTAGGATTAAGTTTAGGAGTGATTTTGCTATGATTTAGAATATTATTATCTGATCTATTTGGATGGTTTGTAATGATGACATTTTTACCAGTGTTTCAAATACTATGAAACAAGTGGACGAGAAGAGTATTTTTGGTCATAAAATGGTTTCTAGATAAATCAGAGGTGAACTCTTGCACTTTCTCTAGCCGGATTCAGAACTCTATCATCTTCTTTAACCTATAGAGGATGAGTATTTTGTCTAAATTATAGGACTGGTTTGGTATATGGTTTTTGATGTTTCTGTTGCTGGATTCTAATATGTTGATGGTGATTTTGATGGTTTGAGTTCGCCGAAACCATAAGAGTCGAGGTTATAAACTTAAGCGTTTCCATAGTTACTTACTCATCTTTCCAAGCAACCTACACCTATTGTACTTTTCCAGTTTGCATATAGTTGTAATGTCAATTTTTTAAAGTGTTTTGAAGTTTGACATGGAGAAATTTAATGGAAAAGTCAATTATGACTAAAGAAAAATACAAATAAAAAATGTGTAAGTTAATGCAACTAGGATTAAACAAGGCGTTGAAAAATAATATTTTCAACATGGTAAACAAAAAATGGAATAAATTAGATTTGAGAGCTCTAAGTGCAATTCACTTGTGTTTAGTTAAGAATATTATAGCGAAGAAAGATCATTGAATGATTTTGAGATATAAATATATAAATTATAGGAATGTAAAGTAAAATATTTAGCAATGTTAGAGAATAACTAGATATTATTTTTCACTGGAAATTTCAAATTATTGTTTCTCGAATAAAATAACTGTACAAAAGTTTATTGATATTGATGCAATCTTTTCTCTAAGATTATATTGACGGTTGAAGAACTTGTTTATTATTTGTATAAATGTGAGATACAAGAAATCAAACCTTCAGCATAAATGTTATCTTGTAAGAGAGTATCCACTTCCTGTTGTGCTTTAACTTCTTCTGCAGACATATCATTATGCAAAACGACTTTTTTACTCATTACTTCATCTTCTTCTGTAGCCATACATCAATAATAATAATTAAATAAAATGAACCAAAATATAGAATCAAAACACTTGAGAACAACGTTATTTAATTTTAAAAGTAGTCAAGAGAATATTACTTAAACCTAGTTTGATATAATTGAACATTTAGTTTAAATATTTTTTAAATCTTGCATAAAAATAATGGATTCTAATATTCTCTTCAAGACTTGTAAAATATTCAATTTAAAATAAAATTCACACATTGTACTTGTAACTTTCACATATGGATTTCAAATTTACAAAATAATTTTTCCATAAGATATATAGGTCACTAAACAAATTAAAATAATCAATGTTAAAACATATATACCTTCAAAAAATTTCCTTTTTCGATGGAGGAAGCTAGCACCCATCGATTCCATTGCAGGCACCCCAAATTTTGTTACAAAAATTGCAGAATCACTTTTGGATGGTCTTTTGATTCTATTACCCTGGCAACCAAGAGTAAGATCCTCCATTTGACATGCAATTTTCATATTTTGATTATTAGTGTTTGTTTTTTGAATCTCCATTCCTTCATTTGACATTTCTCCTCCAGTTCCACTAATATCACTATCAGCACTATGTTTACTCATGTTAATAGAGACATCATTTTCCAAATTATGATTTATAGAGAGTGACTTGGATGAATCCTTATCATTGTTTGCCATGACTAAAACAATATTGAAGTTAGGAAATGTTATAGAACCAAATGAAGAATAGACAATGTTGAGTTTTTGTCTTGCACCTTTCCTTAGATTAATTTATATTCATTGGTTGGTCATCTTAATTTCATTGTGCATTTGGTCAAAAAAAAGTTAATTATCCTTTGAATTAAGATTTCTTTATTAAACATTTTTGATTTTATCTTTTGAAAAAGAGAATTTAAATAGGAAAAATTTATTATTAATTTGAAAAAAATAACTTTTGAAAGATTCTAAACAAATATATAATTCTAAGTCATTTTTTATTGAAAGAAATGAATTTTATAAATATAATATTATTAAAAATGAAATTCATTTTTTCATTTATATTAAATATATAAAAGAGATTTAAAATAAACTTATTATACATTTCTTTTACTTACTAAAATGTCATTATAAAAATATTATTCAATAAATATTTAAATATTATATATTTGTATGTAATATATAAATACTTTTTTTTTCAAGAGAATATCTTCACAAAAGTGATATAAAATAATAATATTATTTTTGGCATGAAAAAGTTAATATGTTTTTTCTTTATTTTTAATAGGCCATTAATTTTTGGTCAATAATAATAATAAATAATAATAAATAATAATAATATAATAATAATTATAATAATAAATAAATAAATAAATAAAAATAATAGACCAATAAATATTTTTAAAAGTTTTTTTTTGTTTACTTACAAAAATGTTATGATAAAATATTAATGAGTAAATATTTAAATATTATATATTTGTATGTAATATATAAATACATTTTTTCAAGAGAATATCTTCATGATATAAAATAATAATATTATTTTGGGTATGAAAAATTGAATATGTTTTTTTTTCTTTATTGTAATAGGCCATTAACTTTGGTCAACAATAAAAATAATAATATAATAATAAAAATAAATAAAAATAATAAACCAATAAATATATTTAAAAAAAATCTTAAGGTGTGTGTTCAACGTTATTTGAAATAAATAATGTTATTTAAATAAATAACAAAATACATGTGCACTTGCACTAGTTTGATGACTTGCACTAGTTTAACATGGATCGAGGACACACCACAAAAGCGTACGAGTATATTGAAATAATATAAGAGTATTGTTTTCAGGGACCAGTTTTCAGTTACGAAGTTTTATGGTCTTAGAATTTATCTAAGACAATCCATGTTTTGTTTGAAATATTGATTTTTGTTTTAGAAACTAAAAATCTTAAAAATGGAACTTGGGGTCAATGATTCGTATCTTTAACAAATTCGTGCATACTCTAATTCCTTATCATTGATTTAATTGAATTTGTAGAAAAATAAAAATACTAAATAATATCTACTTTTGTGAGTGTGTTATCATATTCTAAACAGACATATTATCTACTTTCGTCAAGGTAGCGTGTTTGTTTAGAGTCGATTATAAGCATAACTATATAAATGAGATTTTCTCAACTAAGTTTGAGAAACTTTCGTCGTCTCAACTCCATTATATGGTATTTCTTGTTTGGATACCAATTCCCGCCCTTTCATCATGTGAATGATATTTAAAATTCCTTTACCTTCGTAGAGAATCATACGTTAAAAATCATAAATATGGAATAAGTCTTATAACTTTTCTCGTAATGAAATGATTAACAATCTACATGAGGTCTGTCACAAGACAACCCTCATGACCCTAAACTCTTAGAAAACTACCCAGACACGACAGAAAATAAACCATACATAGATATGAATGAAATCATACTCATGAAAAGTAATATAAGAACAAAAGGGAAACTTTTGTTGCGGTGAATTAAAATAAAGAAAATGTAGAAAAATGTAAATGACTTAAAACTGAAATAATAGTAAAGTTTTGTTTCTTATTCTATGTTACAACACCTTATTATAGGTCTCTAGGCAATAATCAACATTAGAACGACTTAAACACTGAGAAAAATATTTGGAAAACCAAGGGATTGCGAAAGAAAATGGAAGAACTCCAAAATTGGAAGAATTTGAACAAAGCCAATAGTTTTTAGAGATGAGTTCATGAAAGTATGAACACAAGTACTCATGTGAGAATCCACAATCCATTGGCTAAAGGTCAATTCGTCTGGTACTCATCTAGTCTTAAGGGTCTAGTAAAAACACAATCTAGGGTCTCCCTCAAAAATATCAATTCCACTATGGAGTTGACAATAAATCCCTATATCTGAATTTTTGTCCTTTCAAACACACAAAAGATCAGTTTTTGGAACAAGTTTCATAACACACATGCGAGCTTGGATTGTGGAAATTATTTTCTACTTTATTCATAACACTTAAACAATCTAACTTTTTGTAACAAAAAACTTTTTAGGGTATACCGAATTTATCCCGAATGGCCATTCCTTAATTACTATTTACACATATGAACATTTTCATACTTTTTTTCTTCAATTTTAGGTATTAGGGATCAACCACTATTGAGTTGAACAATCGGGTGAGGGTTACTCAACTTAGTAGGTGAAGTTTCCTTTTATTGCCCATTTTAAAATATATTTTTTTCAATTATTGTTTTCCATAGCCAAACAACACACAATATGCAAGCAAAAAATAATGTCATACTGATTCATATGAATTACTCGGAAAATACTTATGGGTTACAAAAACTACATGTCAAGTCGAGTTAAATTAACATTTAAGTGGAACGCTCTAAGCGTTAGGACAAGATCGAGTGAAATTAACTTTAAGCCTTTCTTCCAAATAATTAAATATACTTTCTCTATGAACACAATCAAAAACTCTTCAAACAAATTTAGTATTTCCAAACCGATTTAAGTTAGGGTGGTTTTAACCCAGTAGACGCACATACACACAAGCAATAAGAAAATCAAACAAAAAAAATTATGAATTGAAATACCCTAATACCTAAACTAAACATTGATCCCAATGTTTATAGAAAAAGTATAATAAAAAGTTAAAATGAACTTACAGAGATCACTAATGGAGGAGGAGGCACGTAGAAATGGCCTTGAGAGATATGTCATACATTTGTTGCATCATCATTTATTGCTTGATGATTAATTAATTTATGTCATCTATCAAATTGAATTGCCCTATCAGTATATAATTTTTCTCTCATGTTCCTTTCTTCTTCTAACCAACTATTCCCTATGGCTCACTAATTTGGCCTCTACTCTTGATTGACATTTAGTGACACATAGCTTCTCATAAGAGGAGGTGGTGATGGTGGATTTTTCTATCTTTTAGGGGGTGGGGTGGGGGGGGGGGGGGGGGGGGGTTCTCATTCTCACTGTCAAAAGTTTCTGTTTCTTGTTGTGTATCTACCCATATTTCTAATTTTTCTCATTTCTCACAATTATCTTTAAAAATGTTTATGGTGAGGTTTGGGCAATTTTGACGCTAAAACTCATCTTAGCCCAAGAGAAAAAAATGTGTGGTTCAGCTAGTTTCAGTTAGCTTTTAAAAATAAAATTAAACCAATCCAAACCAAACAAATGCAATTTGGGTTGGTTTGATTTGTTTAATTTTTTATAGGATTTTTATTGTGCCATACATGCGTATATAGAGGACAACATAACTTTGGCTTAGTCATTCTTACATTACTAAATAATAAATTACAATGTCAATGAGTATAAGTTACAACACCATTTCAACACCAAATAACAATGTGTTTTACAAAGTACAAACTAAAGCTCCAAACAATAGCATTAGTGCATTACATTATAGAAAAACATAAAATATTAGCATAAAACAATATCTAAAACATTATTATGAAATATAAAAAATAGAGGAGAGGAGAGATTATAGAATATGAAAAGAAAGAGCAGAAGAATATGTGCGATAAAAATGAAATTGGAAGAGAGAACAATATCATAAAAATGAAAAGATGAAAAAGAAATAACATAGGAAAGGAGAGGTTAGAGAAGAAGAGGCTAGATGTACCTTGCGAAGAAGAATTGAAGGAGGCATGATAGTGCTAGGAGATATTAGTGAAGGATGAAACTTAAACGCTAAGTGTGTGGAAGATAAAATTATCTGTAATCGTAAGGCTAAAGAAAATTGGGTTTTGGTTTAGGTTGGATATGGGTTAAGTGAAGTTTAGGTTGTAACACATTCGTTTCGATTTGGTTTGATTCAGTTTGCAAAATACAAACCATAAACCAAACAAAACCGCACGGTTGTATTAAAAAAGTGGCCCAAACACATATGAACCAAACATAATTTTTTTGAGTTTTTTGGGTTTCTTAGGTTTTGTTAGAGGGTTTCTATTGGGACGACTCAATTTTGAACATCCTTAGTTGTTATGGTTTGGTTTGGGAGAAGTATGTTACTTTTTATTTGTTGCACATCATCAAAACATATTTATCCTCTTTTCTAGAAATTAGCTTCATGGTTAAGCACACCTCCAAGTTTAGTTAGGTGTTTCCACGAACAACAGTTGGGGTTTTGACCCTATCCTATACCATCTACTTATATCCACAGTTGTAATGAAACCACCCATTTCTATTTCTATCTGTGTGGCCGTAACTATTTTTTTGAAGTTCTTTTCCAAGAAATGTGCAGTGTTTAAGGGGGTATTGTTCTTCATACTCTAGATAAAAATATCTCTTTCTGCCTCACATTTCTTGTACTATCTGCTTTGTAAATGTCCGAATGGGTCATGATCTTTTGCCCATAGCAAAAACAAGGGTTGTGAATGCTTCAAGATTTTGCCTATTCTAGGTCTATAATCCCCCCTTCTGCTAATCACTTCAAAAAAATATTTTAATTAAAACGTAAGTCCCTTAACCCAGTAGTTACCCACTTCTACCCTTCTCGAGGAAACCCAAACAAATCAGCAAGTTCATTAATATATAAGTAATGTTCTTCATTAAACATCCTAAAGCTCAACACATTGTAGTGTCCTTTCAGTTTCACCCATAATTATAACTTCACAAAATTGAGGAATTCTACAATAGGTTTAACATAGGTGGGAATTTTAAGTGATATAA